GACAAACCCTCAACATACATCATGGATGCCAACAAAGGGAACATCAGCCGACCAATGGTCAGTGCCAACACAGTAAAAAGACACTTGGAGGGACTGGATGTATTCAAATCACCGGGACTGGAGGGACTCCACCCACGGGTAATGAAGGATTTAGCGGGGGTCATAGCTGGCAAAGATATGTAAGTACTCATGGCACTCGGGTCAGGTTCCGGAGGATTGGAAGAGGGCTAACGTCCCAATGTTTCATAAGGGGAGAAAGGAGGACCCGGGGAACTATAGACCGGTCAGCCTTACCTCTATCCCTGGGAAAATCCTAGAAAAAATTATCAAGGAGCACATCTGTGAGAGCCCGCTGACTAATGTGATGTGGAGGAGTAAACAACATGGGTTTTTAGCAGGCAGGTCCTGCCTGACTAACCTAGTTTCCTTTTACGACAAGGCCACTAATTGTTTACATGCAGAAGTTGAGGTAGATGTTATCTATCTGGAGTTCAAGAAGGCCTTTGACAAGGTATCCCATACCATCCTGATAAATAAACCGAAGGGATTTGCCTTAGATGATTACACGGTAGACTGAGTAGCAAATTGGCTCAAGAGTCACACTCAGAGGATGGTAGTGGATGGGTCGGTGTCAACCTGGAAAGATGTGTGCAGTGGAGTCCCTCAGGGCTCAGTTCTGGGGACGGTGCTGTTCAACATCTTTATCAGCCATCTGGATGAGGGGGTGGGAAGCACCCAAATTCACAGATGACACAAAATTATGGGGTGCAGCTAACACCCTGGAGAGGTGGAACCAGATCCAGGCCGACCTAGACAGGCTGGGGAAGTGGGCAGAAAGCAACAGGATACAATTCAATAAGGACAAGTGCAAGGTGCTACATCTAGGAAGGAAGAACTGCCATCATACCTACAGGCTGGGGGGTGACCTTCTCAGCTCCACTGAGGCAGAAAAAGATCTTGGAGTCACTGTTGACTCCAGGATGAACATGAGTCGCCAATGTGATGAAGCAGTTAGCAGAGCCAATCGCACCTTGCCATGCATCCATAGGTGCTTCGCAAACAGGTGCAGGGAAGGAATTCTCCCCCTCTACATGGCACTGGTCAGACTGCAGCTGGAGTACTGTGTCCAGTTCTGGATGCCGCAGTTCAAGCAGGATGCAGACAACCTGGAGAGGGTCCAAAGAAGAGCCACTCGCCTGATGAGAGGCCCGCAGGGAAAGCCCTATGAGGAAAGGCTAAGGGACCTTAACCTCTTCAGCTTCTCCAGGAGAAGGCTGAGAAGGGACCTTGTGGCAGCGTACAAATCCATAAGGGGAGAGCAACATGAAGTAGGCGATGTGCTGTTCACCAGGGCACCCCCTGGAACGACAAGGAACAATGGCCATAAGCTACTAGACAGAAGGCTTAGACTGGACATTAGGAGAAAGTTCTTCACAGTCAGGGTTGCCAGAATCTGGAATGGGCTCCTAAGGGAGGTAGTGCTCGCCCCATCCTTGTGGGTCTTCAAGAGGAGACTGGACAGTCATCTGACCCCAGCGTTGGTGACTCTTTTCTTGCCTGCCAGGGGGTCGGATTAGATGGCCCACTGCGGTTCCTTCCGACTCTATGAATCTGTCTATGAATCTAAGTCGTTAAAAAATACAAACCTAGAAAGCACAATTATAAAAAACGGCTTAACGCTGCACAGATGTTTGTAAATACAAAGATCAGGCTGATCTCTACACATGGAGCCTTCCTGCATTACTAATCTTAGACAAAATAATCACAGCCCTGAAAGAACTTCCTTCTCTAATGGATCGACACCTGCCAGGCTGCTGTTCATGTCCCACTGCTCTCGAGCACCTCTTGATCGGAGACCAGCTCTTGCCTTGGCCTCTGGCTCACTTCATATACAAAAGCTCCCTGTATCACCCCATACAGAAATACCCATAGGACTAGTGCTGACTCCCTCCAAACTCCAAAGTTTAAGCATACCTTTCCTCAGAGCTCCAACCTTGTGGGCATTCTGCCTTTACTAGTCACCTCCTCAGGGACATGCAGCTAAGGAATCAAATACACAGTGTTTGCAACTGTTCCAAAAACTCTTCCCTCTTTACTGTTGCACAAGAAATACGCGGAGGTGGACAAGACACATGCTTACTTACCCTTCCCTATGCTTAATGCGCAGTAGCCGAATAACACTGTGCAGGAGCATGCCAGGCAAAAACCATGCTAATACACTACTGCACAGTAGTGTTAGGCTACTGTTTTTTTAGGTCACTAAAAAACTGTGTGCCAGCGCTACTGCAAAGTAACTGTAGTTATTGCACATTTAGTTAGCACTTCATTAAGCAAGTACTAAACTAAATGCACAGTAACTACTGTGCATTAATGAACATGTAGACGCGCCCAGTAATGCTAGGCATCTTACCTGACTTTCATGGAGGGGAAAACTACCTCATATTCATCACGCAGTAACAGTGGGAACATTGGCAGTTACTACAGACTGGAAGTTTTCCTCCCAGGAACTTGTTTGTATGTGCCCACCTGCAAACTGTGTGGCTTGATTGCATGTGCCCACCCTCAAACTGTGTGGTTTGAGACCCATTATTAAAAATCTGTCTGGGGAAGACAAGCTGGAGGCAGCTGGTTTTACCTGGCATATGGCTGCCCAAAGACACTCCAGTCTGAACAGGCTTAATGACTATGTCTCTTTTCTGGGAGTTACTACAGAACCACAGAAGGTCCATTTAAACCTAACAGTCCATTGATTTAGCATGGTTAAGGAACACCAGTTACTTAGTCAATGGTACACAAAGGGGTAATATAGCCAGCATCACACCTGGCCACTTGACACCCCAGCTTGAATGGCCAGATACCCATTTACAGATAGGTTAATCAAGGGCGGCCTTTGACATGAGCCCAGAGCAGGGCTTAAACTCCTGGCTCCAGAGCCATAGCAAAGTGCCTTAACCACTCTGCCACCCTGTCACCCCTTGACCCACGGCTCCCACCTGCAGACCCAATCCCCACACAGCCTGTGCTGCTGTCTTGGCCGGACAGGATGGACCCTTGCATGGACAGTGGTGCTGGGTGTGTTTGGAGTCCCAGAGTACACCTCAGCACTGGCAGCCCCACACAGTCAAGCCCACCCAGGAGAAGCCACTTTTGCAAAGGCGCCCAGTGCCCAGCACAGCAGAATGTCCCTCACGCGGCGCCTTACCCTACCTGCACACAGCCCGTCTCTGTGGCAGCCCCTGTGCTCAAGCCCCTGTTGAGTGTGTGGTGTTGCCAGGGCAGAGGCAGCAGCTGCAGGAGCCAGTAACAGTCCCTTTGTTGCTGACAGCAGCACCCTGTGACTGCTCCCCAACTCACCCTCCCTCTTCCACTGCTTGCTGGGACCTGTAATCTGCTGTGGGCAGGCCAGCGGTGGGACACGGGGACTGGACTTTACTCACCAAGGTGCTCCAGGAGTGTGGCCATAATTATTGGCTACAATGATCAAAAAAGCCAATAGCTGATAAGTCATTTCTCCTTTTATCAGTGCCAATCCAATAGGCAACCAATTTATCAGTGCACCCCTAAATAAAACCTTTACCCTACTCATCCCACTAGCGCTACATCAAATTCTTTTGCTTATAAGTTACTCAATTTACACAAACCCAAGTTAACAGAGACCAAATAGGTGCCTGTACCAAGATAACTGGAAGTGATTTGGAACTCAAAGTAAAATACTTATAAATGCTTTAGCTATACAGTGCAATCCAATAGGTAGACATAGCACTTCACACAGGATAATGTTTGCCACCCAGAAGAACATATCTCTGGCTCAGAAGCTTAGAGGCGACAGGCTCAAGTACTGCAAGATAAGACTCAGGCTGTGTCCAGATCAGTGCAGATGTTTGGTTCCCTGGGGACAAGTAGCTGCGGCACACCTTGTGCCACTACTTGTCCCTAGGGAATGCCATGCATACTGTGCCGTGCACCAGGTTACCCTGGGTGGGGTAGGGGGGACTGTGCTGGTCCCAGCAGCCTTACTTGGGGTCCTGGGAAGCTGGAGCCATGGCAGTCCTGCAGCTGGGAACCTGGCTGGCAGCTGAAGCGTGGCTCTGGCCAGCCAGGCTCTAGTTTTGGGTGGGTTGTGCTGCTGCTATGTGCACCACCCTGCTTTTTTTCTGCACAGGTTTTTCTTGAGCCTCCAGACCAAAAAAAACCCCTCTGCACTTCCAGGTAGCAGTGTGGGGAATGTTTGCACATGTAGTGTGTGGCCCTGTAGATGGGTTTCCAGTACCACATACCACAGGGCCATGCTTGTCTGGATGCAGCCATACTGTCCAGGCAGAGGAATGTGTGCCCTTTATAGAAAAATGACAGGTGAAGTTTTCAATTAGGCACAATTTCATGTGTGCCACATCTGGGGTGGAAGAGATGAACAGCTGCAAGTAGGTCACTTCTGTATAATGCAACACTGGCTCGAGGAGTATGGCATTCAACTTCCACTGTTTACAACTACAATTCAAGCAGGCAAATTGTGTTTTGTAAGAATTCTGCATCTGGATACAGATCCCACAAAGTTGGAAGAAAGACATTAAAAAAAGAGGGATATAACACTGACAAATTAGAAAGGGGAGGCTTTAAAACAAGTGAAGGATAACATGTTAAAAGAAAAGGGGGTAGTGAAAAGACAAGAAAAGAGGAGGAAAGTATGAAGGAATACTCAGAAGTCAGGTAGAAAGTAATACAGAACCAACAAAAAGGAAGCGGTATAATTAGATGCTAAAACAACAGAGTAGAAGAATGAAGTTGCTTGTGGACAGAAAGGCAGCAGTAAAACCAAACAAAAATAAACCCACTCCGAAGACCAGAATGAGACATAAGTTACTCAGCGTTTTAGGTGGATAGTGATACCAACTACAGAAATTTAATACTGTTTCTTTGGAGAAGCAGTAGTCCCCCCCACCACACACCTGTCTACTGACAAGGAATACAACTTGCTTTAACCTGAAAAAAGTGTAACTTACAATGCGAGTCTCCCAAAACTTGTATTTTGGGTTGGTCAGCAGCAGCTCCTTCGTTACTGGAGAACAGTATAAATGAACTTTTAGGCTGTGCAGAGAGAAGATAACAAACTTAGTTTTCAAAACAGAGTACGCAACAATCATTAGATAACTTTGTGGCAGTGCATATCTGCTAGACCTGCCCCCCACCTGAAGGGAAGTACAGCCCTGCAAATGTGGGGCAATCCAAGGAACTGTTCTACCTCAACCTGGCAGAACTCAAGCTCTGTTCCTCCAGCCGGTCTGTAGGCCTTCCCAAAATAATATGGGTTTGTACCTACAACCACTTTGTTTTTAAAAAAATCCTTCCTCCATTCCTTTCCTGTCATAAGAACAAAAGAATTGCCATCTTTTGTACAGAGTGTTACACAGTGGCAGAGAATAGACGTGGAAAAGCACAGTGGGCTGGGTATGACCAGAGTTGGGTTTTTTTCCTCGTTGTTCCTCTCTTACTTGCAGTCTCCGGCATTTAAGGTCTAGGAAGTTCTGCTTCAGAGGCTGTATTTACAACTCCTATGCTCAGTAGTTACTAATGCTCCTTTCCTCCAAAAAACTGTCCAATACAGTTTTTTTTTTGATTCTGGCTAAACTGTCAGCTTCCACACTTTAATGACCCGGTGTGTGAAAAAACTTCCTGTTGTTACTTTAAACTGACTACCTCCTAGTTTCATCTTGTGACCCCTAGTTCTTCTATTTTGAGGAGAATAAATAATTAATCCCTATTGACTTCCTCTTTACCATTTAGTATTTTGTAAACCCTTATCATGTTCCCCCCAAGTATCTCTTTCCTAAACAGAATAGACCTAGTCTCTCCTCATATGGAAGCCCCTCCAGACTCACCCTTGCTGCTCTTTGTACCTTATCTAGTTCATCTATATCCTTTTTGAGGTGAGGGGACCAGACCTGGGCACAGTATTCAGGATGCAGACACACCACAGATTTATGAAGGGGCATTGTGATGCTTTCATTTCCGTTCATAATTCCTTTCTTACTCCTATCATTTTGTTTGCCTTTTTTATGGGTGCTGAGCACTGAGCTGATGTTGAGCAAGCAGTTTGCAATGACTCCTAGATCTCTCCTCCGTAGTAATTGCTAATGTAAAGCCCATCATAGCGTAGGCATAGTTTTAGTTATTTTTGCCCAGGTACATCACTTGACACTTATCTACATTGAACTGCACCTGCCATTTAGTTGCCCATTTGCTCAGTTGGTCTACATCCTTCTGTAGTTCCTCACAGTCCACCTTGGTCTTTACCACTCCAAATTAATTTTGTGTTGTTGGAAAGTTTGCCCACAATGCTACTCACCCCCTTTTCCAGATCATTTATGAATATGTTAAACAGCACTGGTTCTAACACAGATCCCTGGGGGACTCCACCTTTTACTTCTTTCCATCGTGAAAACTGACCATTTATACTCACTCTTTGCTTTCTGTCTTTGAGTCAATTCTAATGCACATGTGGATGTTCCCTGTAATCCTGTAACTACTTAACTTAGTTAAGAGCCTATCATCGGGGACCTTTGTCATGATCTGAATTTAAGGCTTTGGTGCTTTCTCTGGAATAGATGATAACTATCCCAAGCTCTGATGCAGAGCTGGGAATGTGGTTCCTTATGCTAGTCTAGACTTTGGGAAAAGATCTCCAGTTTTTTATTGCTGGCAGAGAGACTCTTGATTTGCTTTTTAAAGGGGAGGTTCAATAAACTACAACTTGTAAACTCACCATCAGCTCTGGAGAATAACCCAAAACAGGATGGTTTGTGAAAAGACGGTTGCCTATTTGAAAAATATTGTTTTGAAGACAGATAATAGCAAGATACCAGGCCTTACTTGTCTTCCCTTCAGAAAAGCTTCTTGTACTATTTCACCTACTTTTACTCTGGGAAGATGGGGAGAGAGAGGGAGAAGCCAAAATTTTCCTTGGGAACAGTAAACAGGTCACTGCAGAAGGCACTAGTTTACAGTGTACTCCACCAACATGCAAACTCAGTAAGTGCATCCTTTGCTTAACTGCATACCAGAACCCTAGCGCCAAGCTGCTGCCTATTACTGATATTGTAACAAACCCCAGTTATCTGTATATCAGTTAAATGCATAAGCCACTAATGTGTATGGCATCTATCAGCTCAATTTTCTATTGGGTAACAATCATGCCCCTGGGCAGCTACAATGAAACAATGAAGGGAAGCAACTGTGGAAAGTGCTGATAACAGAAGCCTTGCAAACAACAAGACCAGTCAGTTTCAGGGCAACTTTCCTTCATGTTCAAGGTTTCTAATAGCAGCCCTGAAATTATCAGAAGCCAGGAAAACAAGGGTAGGCAGGCAGCATTCCCTTTACACTGGACGGCGTGCATGGCCGTGCACACCACGCAGTTTAGAGGGAACACTGGTAGCAGGTCAGCTTCATACTAGCCAACACCGCAGCACTCTGTACTTTGAGAGTATTCTTGGATTAAGGTTTAAGTGCATACTCCAGTTACATGCACAGCTGTTTTTCAGCCCCAAAACAAGGCACTTATTTTGATCCCAGGGTCAAAATAGAGGACACTGCATAGTAGAGGTCTGAACACAAATAATCTAGTGCCAATCAGAGATGTTAGTTCACCTGTTACACTTTAACAGATCTGATCCAAGCACAATCCACCTACTTTGGGATTCTGCTGCAAATTTTCAAAGTACAGAAGTCCACTATTGGAACTTGGAATCTGGCCCACATCTAGTCAATAGTAAGGATTTCTGGGCAGATAACTGCAGTGGGCAGCAGCAGTTCCAATTTGTTTACAATGACCTTGGGAACAGTAGGCTGTAGTGAAAAACTAAGAGCATTTTTACAAATGCAAGCATTGTAATGCTGGATGCTTTGAAAAGCGCCCAGCACTGCAACACTTGCAGTTGTATAAGTGGTGAAATGTGTCAGCACTGAGAAAACGGCAGTGGTGTGCTTTTGAACTAAAACACATAGGAGGTGCTTTAGTTCAAAAGCGCACTGCTGCCTTTTTCTGTGGGGATGTGCATTTTGCCACTTATACAACTGCACACAGCAAAGTGCACTTCAGCTCAGCTCACATGTGGAGAAGACTTGATTAATTGAGCCTGCTCTGAAGCAGCAGATCTCCAGCGCACTGCAGGACAAAAAAGTATGTGTATAAATGCCCTAAGTTTGTTGATGCCGCCACTTGATGAGGAGGCAACAAATGAACTCATGGCTCGAACAAAGAAAAAGTATCTCCAAAACTCATCTTCTTCATCCTATTCCCTACAGCTTGCAGCTTGGTTATTAAATCACTTGTGTTTTCCATTAATGGTTTGTACACCGGGGTCTGGACAGTACTAATATGGATCATGAACATCTTCTCTACCCAAAGTGAAAAAGCAGGACACATGTTCAAATGTTCTCACGCTTTGATCAGAGATGTGGAAACAGCTGCTGTGCACATCATGCAGAGCGATAAGCCCTGGTTAGAAACCAACAGATGTGGTGGGGGAAGCTGTGTGGTTTGGGCAAACAGTCAAGTTGCAAAAGCAAGTGCACGACCCACGACCCAGTTATTTATCCACAACGTTTTAATGAGAGAAAAAAAAAAGTGCAGCTTTCAGGTCCCTAGAGCCTAAGGATGCTGCCACTTAAAGCTGGATAGAAACCAACTATGAGGTAACATATTTTCAAGCATTAAATTTGCAGCTGGCTGGTTCTTTTCGTAGCTACACAGACATTTTTAAGTGACAGTGGCAATGCGTAGAGGGTGCGCATGGCTGCATGTGGACTCCCTGTGCTTGGCGGTGCACCCCCTACAAAAAGGTGCTGCCAGTTGCCACTTGCCATTCACCCCCCTAGCCAACGTCTGCAGGCTATCCTCAATTGCTACCACCACTGACAGCTTCTGCAGGTGGTCACCGACTGCTGGTCAGCACTTGCCTTCACCCCGCCCCTGACAGCGCTGCAGCTGCCTGCGGGAGCTCACCATGCCCCGCCAGCCTCCAGGGGCACATGGCATTCAAGTTATGCGGTGATCATTACTTGCACATGTGGCTGGTCTCCATTTATCGTGTGGGTAGCCAGTTATTCGCATAATATACGTAACACATGACAAGGGCCCAAATGACGTGTGCTCACGATCCTATGTCAAGAACTGCCCACCGACCCACGCTACCTGCACTCCAGTCGCCTTTTTAAGGATGGCGCCCTCAGCCCCTTCATGTGATCTGCAAGGAAGAAAGAAATAAACATTCCCAGCATATTCCTACGGGCCTGGACCCACTTTGCGTCAGCCGCAGAAAACTTTTAGACGTGGAGACGGGATACCTGGAGCAGCCAGGCTCCCCAGTGCCAGGCCAATCCCTTTCCCAGGGCAGTTGGCTGCTCTGCCTTCCGCCCGCTGCCCTGCGCCCCTGTCCGATCGATGGCTCCGCGCTCTGCCCCCCCCCCGTGCCCCGGTCCATGGATTGCTCCGCGCTCTGCCCCCCATCCTGCGCCCCGGGCGCCGCGCTCACCCTTATGGCAGTGCGACAGGAAGTAGGCCCGCGCGCGTAGGTTATCACGGTCGAAGCGGTCGATGGACACCCAGGGGTACTCCCGCGTGCGGCCCCCGAAACTGCTCATACCCCCGCCGCCGCCGTCACCGCCGCCTCCCTGCGCGGCCCAGCTTCCGCCAGGCCCCTCCTCCCCCTCTCCCATTGGAGACGGTGGCAGCCAATCGCGGAGCCGCTCCTGCCGCGCGTCAGCCGCAGGGGCGGGGCCTTTCCTCCCATTGGGCGCGCGACTCCTCCCTTTTCCCCTCTCCGCTACGCTCGTTGCTGGTTGGCCCGCGCCCGCCCCCCGGTTGCTAAGCGACCGCAAACGGCCGCGGCGCGAGGACAGCATAGGGGTGAGTGGCCCTGGCACCGCCCCTCCCCCCTCCCCACAGAGGAGCGCTGGGGGGACGGGACAGTCTGTCCACAGGCGGGGCGGGGTGGGGAGGAACACGGCATTCTGGGATGCTGGAAGACCACGGCTGTGCGGCTTATCAGGGTGTACAGTAATTGTGGTGTTGGTGCTGTTGCATGGTGGAGGGTGGATAATCGTAAAACACGGGTCATTTCCGAGGCAGCTGATGGATGCGGCAAACCCCAGATCACTCTCGGAGATTTGGAACAGGCATTCGGCTTCGCTGGCAGTGTTTTCTTACAGCGGCTCGCCTCGAAATGAAGAAATGTGTCGACTTGGAGGACTCGAATCTTGCGCGCTCGATGCCAAGGGATAGCGAGCAGTGTAAAGGACATTGGAAGACAACTTATTTGCACATGTGTTTGCCTGATTTCTTTTAGTGTATGTTCATTTTTCAGCAAATACGATCATATTTGAGTGTCCGATACAATCATGTTGTATTTAAGACCTGGTGGTGCTGGGCTTGCCTGTGGGGAGGGGCCGCGCTGACGAGGCCCAGGAGCTGGGCACGCAGGTTGGGGGTCACGCCTGCCCCCGGAGCCGCATGACTTGGAGACACCCCAAGTCTTGTAGATGTAGCTGGAGGCGCTGTGGGCGCAGTGCGGGGTTTGAATCTTCAGGAGCCTCTGGAAATGAGTGCGTAGCCATGCAAGGGGCTTTGGGTAGAGGTGATGTCTTTTATTAGACCATCTCAGTAGTTGGAAAAATTGTTTTTTGCGAGCTTTCAGGCACAAACGCCCTTCTTCAGGCATGGGGAGAGTCTGCTGATGTTTTGTGAAACAGAAAATGCAGGTCTGTGAAAATGCGAATGGGGCAGTGAGGATCAGAGACCGTAGGAGACGATAGGTGTGAGACAGGTGAGGGGGAAAGAGATTCATTTAAAAAAAAACCACCCCAAAATCAGATTAGACACCTCACAGTGGACTTAATTCAAACCTTGACTGCTATATTGACTGCTTCAGGGAAAGCATGAACAATGAAATAATCCACAGCAAACAGCACCATGAGGTCCGGCTGCCCAGCCTGCTGGATAGCAACTGTCTTCTTGTCATTGTCTTCTCTCCATTCTTTCTGCCTCCATCAGTTGTCTCTTGCTTTAGGATCCTGGTCCAGGACTGCTAGAGCACCTGGATGATACAAATGGCACGTACATCACCAGTCACATCAATCATCATACTAAAACCTGATTTTCAAGAGGCCAAGATTTTCAATTTTGGGTTTTTATTTGTATACGCTGAATGGGCCCATTATGTCTGTGCTCTTGTTTTGTGTGCATTCTGGCAGGAGCTTTTCTGGAAAATCCACGTGAGTTCATGGATAACCAAAATGTGCCATGTCTATCCAGCTGCACTGGACCAGCATATTTGCCAAATGAGGCCAGGACCTCCAGCAGTGGCAAGCCAGTTAACTCTAGTGACATGTAAGTAGTCATAAGCACAGTTAGATGTGCAAACACGATTCCCAAGATAAACCCAGAGACTTCAAATAAGACTCACTGTTTGTGTTCAACACATGCTGACCTCTTCTGGTCTTTCTGAGGTCTTTGCAACAGAAAAATTGCTGTTATTATTTTTCTGTAGTTAAAAATGAGTGAAAGCAAATAGCTGGCATTTTCCAAGGAGCGTCTTGAGTCAATGAAGAGGTGTCTGGTGCCTAAGGTTGAGAACCACTGGCCTAATTCAGCTGTATGTTTCCCATATGGGAACCTACAGATATACAGGCAGAACAATCTTTCCAAAATAGTGCTACTAAAATATACTGAATATGTTAAATTGTGTTGTGCTGTTGCATGGTGGAAAGGGAAAATAACCTTTGTAGTCCTTGCCAGTTTGCATATAATAGAGCCACTAGTTGCAAAACCCAGGTTAGGGTGAATGTGGACTGCTGAACTACTACTAAAACATGGCAGTAGCTATAGAAGAGGACCTGGTATCTATCCTTTTTTGTACAGACCTTTGCTAAACCCCATGCAGTATGAGTTAAAGACCCTTTATCCTTGTTTGCCAAAAAAGCCTATCAAGTTTCATAGTTAGTAGGGTTGGAAGGGACCTGAGCAGATCATCAAGTCCAACCCCCTGCCATGGCAGGAAAAAGTACTGTGGTCAAACGACCCCAGCAAGGTGTTCATCCAGCCTCCTCTTAAAGACCCCCAGGGTAGGAGCCAGCACCACTTCTCTTGGAAGTTGGTTCCAGATCCTAGACACCCTGACAGTAAAGTAGCACCTCCTGATGTCTAGCCTGAATCTGCCCTCTTCCAGCTTGTGACCATTAGTGCTCAGGGGAACAGGGACTCCCCCAGTGCCTGCTGGTCTCCTCTGACTAGTTTGTAACAGGCCACTAGATCCCCCCCTCAGCCTGTTACAAACTAGTCGTTATGTAACAAAAGCTGCCTGTAACAAAAGTTATGCCAAAGATGTAGATTTCTACCACTCCCAAATTGTTGTTTCCTAGGGCTGCAGGAATTTCTAGGGACTTTTCCAAGTATCATATGCAGTAGTTTGGATTTTCTAATCTCTCATGTATTTTGACTATGACCGGCATTTCTGCTTTTGACAGGACTTCTACACTGAACTGTTTTTCATGTTAGTACTGTGGCATCTTGCTGAATAAGGTGTTTAGTCTGTATTTAAGATTTTGAAGCATGTTTTGAAAATAAAAGCAAAGAAATGTAGAACCTTCCTCAGTAAAAAATCTAGAAACTTTTATTGCTTAAACAACATCTTAGATTCTAGGAAATACAGCAAACCGTAGGCTGAGCTGCAGCCTAGTGCCATTGAAGTTTGGCCCACAGAACAATGAAATCTGTCAGATGCTATAGAATTTGCAGGACTTTTTAGTTAAATAAAAGGAGCTGCTTAGCAGTAGAATAAGATAGATCTAAAAAGACTGATACACTGATATGAACAATGAATTGAAATTAGTTCCTGTTGCATTTTAAACCCATTCTAGATTCTGAAATGTAGGTCATAGTCATCCTTGATATAACTTCACTGGAGTAAACACTGTGTTTAATTTAGGCAGGTGGAATTCCAGGATGCCATGACATTAGTAATATGAATGTAAAGTGGACTGGCATGATAATAGTTTATATTCCTGGAAAGTTGAGGAAGACATTCTTTCATTCATAGATTCATAGATGCTAGGGTCAGAAGGGACCTCAACAGATCATCGCATCCAACCCCCTGCCTGAGCAGGAAAGAGTGCCTATCCAGCCTTCTCTTAAAGACCCCCAAAGAGCACCACCTCGCTTGGAAGCCTGTTCCAAATATTGGGCACCCTTACCGTGAAGAAGTTTTTCCTGATATCTAGGCTAAATCTGCTCTTGGTCAGTCTGACCATTGTTCATTGTTATCCCAAAAGGTGCCCTGGTGAACAGAGCATCTCTGATACCTTGCTGTGCCCCCCTAATGAATTTGTAGGTGGCCACAAGATCACCTCTCAGCCTTCTCTTGCTGAGGCTGAAGAGGGCCAGGT